CTTCAAGATTCCTTCACATCGCTTCTGTTTGCTTTCATCAAGTCCATGGCACCATGCTCCCACAACCTGAAAAAATAATCCAAACCGATTCAAAACCGGCACTGCACTAAGTTCAAGGAAGGAAATCAAGGGAAATACAAGATAGTTTAAAACAACATATAACAAACTTCTTCTAACCAATTTTCCAACGGTCATAACAGATCCAAAAAACAGTTAACCAATTTCCCAAATGAATCCCTAACTTCCTAACGCTCATAACTAACCGTAACAGAATAACCTCTGTTTCAATTAACAAAAAACCATAAACAGATTTACTAACAGCAAAAACTCTTAACAGAATAACCCAACTCCAGTTAACTCTCAGACCATAACTAACCACAACTGAATTAATAACACTCTAACTGACACCATAACAGAATTACAAATCTCCTAACAACCTCTAACTACTTCTAACTAGATTCCCTAACAGACTTAAAGAAAGGGAGGAAGAAAGGATACGATGGTTCAAAAGGAAGAAATTTAGAATTAGAACAAAAACTCACCAATTCAGGGATTCTTCTTGATTCATTCTGCAAAACTACCAAAATATCTGAAAAACTCCCTCTCTCCGATTCTTCTCTCTTCTCTCTCCCTTAACTTCTCTGACCTTCATCTTGTTCTTCAACCTCTCTCAAGCATCTGCAACAAAATACAACATCTTCATCTTCAATTATTCTCCATTCTCTTGGAAGAATCACCACATAAAAACTCCAGAAAACTCTCATCTTTCTCTCTTCATCTTCATCATCACAGTTCTTCAGCCTCAACACATAGCTTCTTTCAGACTCTCCATCCACCAATTTGAAGCTTCAAACTTCACCAATTTGACAACGGTTCTTCTCACTGCAACATCTTCATCATAGCAACTACCTCTTCATGTCTTCATCATCTTCTATGATTTCTTCATGATTCTTCAAGCCTCATCGCTACAATTTCCTGCAACGGACATCATTTTCATCGCAACTTCAAGAACTGCATCCTTTCACTATTCATCTTTAAACTCCATCAACAATGCTTCATCACCAGCATTCAATCTCCATCACGACGCTCTTCAACCTTCACGCCACTTCATCATCATTGTGTCTTAAAAGACACATCATCGAGTTTATTTCTTGGTTCCCCTATTCTCTGCATCGCAAGAACAACGACATCAGTGTGCATAAGAGATCAATACAGAATATCACGCAAAGAATAAGAAGAAACATAATTCAGAAGATGAAAAGCGATAAGCACAAAGATTATGGACGCAGGATATTACCTTCGAGTCAAGATCTTCATATTTCATGAAACTTCATCTTCGTCTTCAATTTGCAACAACACGTCACGACTGAGGAACAAATCGCTGAACCTCGAAGCCTTAACAAACAAAAGCAGATGACGACGGAAGATCGTCAGAAAATGGAATTGCCGATGAAAGAGAATGATAGGGAGTGAGGCTGAAGCTTGACGAGGACGAGAAGGAGGTATTCATGGTCCGTTTGGCGGCGATAAGAAGAGTGACTGAGCTTAGGGAAGATCCAAGAAGTTAAGCCAGAAAAAAGGATGAATGACGGTGTTGCATTTTGTCTAGAGGATTCACGGTGGTGGTTGTGTATCGGAGGATGAAGAGAGGTCGCGTCCGCCGTTGAAGAAAGAAGAGGAAGAAGAATCTGAGTTCTCTTAGAAGCTCAAAGGTCATAGACAATTTTAACCTAAATCCTTTTTTCAATTTCTTGTTTTTATTACTTAATTTTGATTAAATGGCAATAAAATTGATATAAAAAGATTGAATAACAAAACTGGTAAGTGATGTTGTTGGTGGACCGAACCCAAACCCTTTCCTGGAGCCCAATAGCATTTCTGGTGAGCTGAAGCATGATGCAAAAGGGCTAAATGGCATTCTGAAACCCAACGTTTTTGGAAGCTGGCTGGTTGTGTGAATCAAAAAACCCTTGCTGGGCCTAGCGCCCAGACTCTTCCAACACCCCTTGCTTACAGGTTGCACCCTTTTTTTATTATTATTTTCATTTTTGTTTGAATAATTTTGATAATTGTTTTGTTTGAGTTTTTTTTACATGATAAAAATAATAAAATCAAATATAAAAATTTGTTAGATTTTTTTAGATTTTAATTTTAGGAATTAATTCATGGTTATCCGATTATTCGAAATTCGTGATTCACCTTTGTTTGTTGAGATTTGAGTCTTATGCAGGTTTATCACGCGATATGCGGATGCGCTTGAGATTTTAATTGTGATTTATTTTCACATTGATGATGCTTCGATACTTATTTCGAGCATTCAATTTCTGACTCTTTTCTTTGATTGGTGAAGCTTTTCACGAAGATCGTCGGGTTTCATTGTTTTGATACGCTTCATTATAGATTGATATTCGTTTGGTATTTTCTCTTGTTTATCTCATTTCTCACTTTATTTCTTTCTAGATACCATGAGAAGTAGGAAATAAAGAGCGTGCACTCGAAGTCGCTGTTTAAAGACCTGTAGCAGGCATTCCACACTTCATTTACTATATGTGTTGTACTTGTGTTTGTTTCCTTGGTTGTTGATCGATGAGTCACTCAATTTAGGAATTGAGATCACGACTTCTCTCTCAGTGCATGATCCCTATAGGATTTTATCGCTTTCCTTTATTTCTTGTTGATCGATGAGTTACTCAATTTAGAAATTGAGATCACGACTTCACTCTCATTGCATGTTCCCTATAGGATAGTTTGTTAGACTTTCTTTGGCATGCTAACCTAGATAGGATCTCTCTAGGTGTACTCTCTTGAGCTTATTAGCTTGTTTTCTTTATCCTTGTACATACCATGTTCCCTTAGGATGCGCTTGCTCCGTTCGGATGCAAGTTAGACCTTAGGTTGTAAGCCATGCATGCTAACATTAGGTAGACATTTCCCTTTTGTTAATCCAAACCTTAAGACTATCATTGTATGATAACATTAGATTAGAAATAAGCTAGTCTCCCTTAGACTCTTTTCTTCCCCTTTTGGCATCTTTGCATTCAAAACTAAAATATTTTCTTTAGCAAATCAAAAACATGCTAATCATACTTAAACCCTTTTTCGAGGTAACAAAAATACAAACCAATTCAAACCTTTTTATGGCCCAAACACCTTTTATCTAAAACCCTTCTCAGGTAAGGACATGATTAATTTACTTTTGTGCCAACACATAAGTCTCCAAAGGTCGAGCTGCGACAGAAGGCGAAATTAACATTGTCTATGAAAAACACAAAAAAAACAAAAATATGTGAGATAAACTACGGTAGCTCTGATTCCTCAAAAAGGATACGTAGGCATTGGGATAGGGCCCAAACAAGTACAACTTTATTTTTCCTACATTCTTTTCTCATTTCTTTTGCATGCATTCTCCCTTTAGCAGAAGTAAACAGTAAGCATAGTTTAAACACACCCATAAGATAGATAACAAGAGTGGATACCGTAGAGTACTACGAGTGTGTGGGGTGCTAATACCTTCCCCCGCGTAACAGACTCCCTTACTCGATCTCTCGGTTGTAAGACCGTGACTTCTCTCTTCTCAGGTTTTCTCGATGTTTACCTTTCCCTTCATGTGGGATAAAATACGTTCGATGACGACTTCATTGTTTGATGATTTTCAGCCGGTTGTTTCACCTTTATCTTCAACATCTTGTGAATTTTATCAATGAAATTCACTCTTTTCACGGGTCACTATCACTACAATATTATTTTTATTTTAATCAATAAAATATTTATAAATATTTATAGTTATTAGACTTAGACATATTGAATTTATCATGTTGGTGATTTGTTATATATTTTTTATTAAATATTTACAGTTATTAGTGATTTTATAATAACAATTATACCAAGCCTATCAAATTAACTAAGATATGAAAGAATTTATTTTTCTTTTTGGGGTATGATTTTTCTATTAGATACCAAAAAGTATCTCCTTTTGTTAGGACAAATTACAAAATTAATTCTTTCATGTCGGTGTTGACGTTAATATTGCCCATAAATATAATATTTTAGTCAAAACTTACTACTATTTCATATTTTATTATTTATACATTTTATCGTTATAATTATAAATTTTAGTTAAAATTACAAAGATAGAATTCATGCGGACGCACGAATCATCTATTAATGTAATTCAAAAATATTTCCAAAACAACCATACACACATGTCGGTCCATAAAGATTACACATTTATGTTTTCATTTTATTTGATTTTCTTTGGACAAAATTCACCGTAAACAAAAGCCACACATAATAAGTTTTTATGCAAAATTAATTAAAAATTTTAATTAGTGTGAAAGCAATGTACATGAATGCTTCCAATACAGTAAACTATCGCCATTATATCATACAAGTCGATAAAATCCACCGCTTGAATTCCATCTCAATCTGTATACGTTGCCGATAACAAATTAGGCCTGAAAGAAATACCAATAAAAATGATACTAGTATCATTTATTCATTATACACAATTTTATTCAAAATTTCAGTATATTAAAAACAAAAATCTAATAAAAATGTATCAAACACAAAATCCAACACAGAAACACGACACAATATGTATTAAACTATAGTTTTTTTTAGAATATTTATTTATTTATTTAATATTTACATAATTTTTTTGTGTTATAAGAGTGTCGGACACTGATATGTCTGATATGTGAATGTGTGATGATATTGAATACCCTGATGTCTTGAATGAGTTTTTTATGACGCGTTTATATACTTGGTACCAAGTGTAACTGATTAACCATACTCGATCCGGCGTGTGGCTCAAGTGAAAAGAAATCAATATTGTGTGTTTCTTAAGCTTTGGTCGCTAGATTTGATAATGAGACAATGCCGTAGAAGGTAAAAAACCGACAATTGATGCGGTCACCAACATATCGTTATAAAAAAACCAATTCAAAACCTCAATTTTAACACTATTTTGCTTTAGCTTCTTCTCTCGCTCTAAAATCATTATGGCAACTTCATTGCCTTTCTTGCTTATTTTCATGCTTGCATTTTCAGCCAAAACAAAAGCTACTTCTTCGGTAGCTAAAGACCAAGTTCAATGCACAATGTGTGTTGAGTGCGAGAATCCATGTCAACCTCTACCACCTCCACCTCTGATCGAGTGTCCACCCCCACCAGCACCAGCACCGCCGTCACCACCTCCACCATCTCCTCCACTTCCACCAGCTATCGTCGATTGTCCGCCACCGCCGCCGCCAAAGTTACCGTGTCCAAATAATTGTGAATTTCCACCCCCACCACCACAATATTCATATTTTTCACCCGGGACACCATTTACATACTATGTACCACCAGATTATGAGGACAAGAATAGCGGTGAAATGATGATGCCATTTCAAGCAATACTCTTCTTGAATCCGAATTCAAATTCTGTGTACTCCATGATTCATCGGTGCTTGGTTTATGTGCTCTTTCTTTGCCTTCATTATTGTTTTGTTGTTTAGTTTTGGTAAATGATTAATTTGGGTGTAATCTTTGTCTAGTTTGTTTAGAAATAATATTCTTGCATAAGAAATTTGAATCAATAAAAGAATAATTATAAATAAATGAAGTTATTGTATTATTATTAAGATTGAGTTATTGTTACTTAAAAATAAATTTATTCAATTAATGGACTCAAACATCAATTTAAGAATTGAGTCAGATACTAAGAGATTTCATATTAATAGACAATGGTGGAAGCAGATTATATATAGTTTTGGCTGACCATTGAATTAAACTTTACACTATTATAAAATATATATTTCATAACGCAATTTTACTTAGTCATATTATCAACTATGATAAAGTATACTTATATTGATGTTTTTCTTTAATTTTCACTTTTAAGTCACGTTTTATTAAGGTTAGAGTTTTGAACTATGGTAAAAAATGGTGTATAGTTATGAGATTTGAATTTTAACATTAACAATTTTTTATATATTTATTTTTAAATAATTTTATCTACAGTTAAAATTTATAATTGTCATAAAAGTAGCGACTGATCATGGTTTTAAGTCCACTCTTTCAAATCGAGTGAATAAAGGTGAAATGTGATGCGTCCGCAAGTGCACGAAAATATCGAAGTAATATAAAATATTGTCGAACCCACAGAGACCATGTCAACCTACTGTAATCTATTGTCGCTTTGTAAAGTTAAGGCTAATGAATAATTGGATTTTAGGGAAACTAGAACTAAAATTGAAACAAAATAAAGATTAAGGTAAATATAAGAAAAAAAAGACCGGAATGTGCATTCCACGTACCTCAGAGACTCTATAACTTGTTGGCTTATAATACTGTTAAAATACTTTTCAGTAGAAAATATTAATTTGAAAGACTTTATCTCACACCGTCGTGCTATTGACTCTGACTATACTCTTAAACCGGAATATTTTGATGTCTCTCACTCATTTGAATTAAAAGTAATTTTTGGAAATCAATAAATTTTAATTAATATTAAAGCGATGTCGTTGTATTTAAGATTAATGCCTAGTTTCTACTATCTTGTTAAAATCTCAAATTGTCGCTCTATTGACCCTAACCTTATTAGCTTTTTACTCTCGTATAAAAACCGTTTTAATTTTATGATTAGAAACTATAACCTGAAAAATAATTTATAAAAATTAACGCCAACTATCACTGAATCCCGTATGTACGACGAATCTTACATACCGGTATCAAAACAATTTAGCCGAACATAACATTAATTGAAAACGAATTAAACATAACGATTGCATTTAAGAAAATCATGGTAATTAAATTTAACAAACGAAGTAATAGAAATAACAAATGTGATAAAAATTAACCTGTAAAACCTGAAATAAATGCAACTGAAAATTACTTTAATAATGGCGGCCAGATTAAATAGCTTTTTGATCCAAGTACATGAGTAGAATTCAACATTGCAAAGTAATGGTATACCAGATGTTCGATGTCAACAATCTGGTATTTTAGAGTTAAATATATGCCTAATTTATACTAGAAAATTCGACGTAAAAAAACTTCCCCCGGGCTTGTAAATGGAGGCCATATTTATAGTGCAAACCTCCCTCGTGAAAATCTGGTAGTTGAGTGTGAAACCCGATAAGTCGAGTTGAATGAGAGAGTGGCGAGAATCCAAGACGTGCGAAAAGGAAGGAGAGGAAATGAGGAAGTGGCGGTCACTACGTTGGAATATGGCAGGTGCCACGTTGGTGAGATATGGTGGGCGCCACACTTGGAACATGGCAGTCGCCACACTTGTAGTGGCAGGCGCCACACTTGTGGTGGGTGCCACACTTGTAGTGGACTTTTCCATTTTTTTTCTTCTTTTTCTTTGGGCTTCTTCATAATTCTTTTATTTCTGCTATGACTTCACCCCCTCTTTGGTAACTTCACCACTTTACTTGTATTTATTTATTTATTTCTTCTTTTCACTCAAATCTCCACTTCTGCTTGAGGTACCTGAAATAGGATAATAATACCGCCACAATAAGACATAAATAAAAGAAAACGAAACTAAAATCCATGTAAGTCGAGTCAAATATACGATATAATTTCACATTATCAAACTCCCCCACACTTAAACCATTTCTTGTCCTCAAGCAATTAGCCAACACGGTAAAAGAAATGATTAAGCGCGATTTGAAATAAGGGCACGACACGACTCCTAATCATATGTGGATGCTAGATTAATGTTATATCGATCGGTACTAAATGTTCAATATCAAGGACACCGTAACGACACAATGTTCAAAGACTCCCTCTTTATGCAAACCGATTCGAATAATGCCATTATAGCTTAACCTATACCTCTCGCTTTTCTTTCACTCTTTTCATTCAAGCGCATTTACATTAAGCATGTTATCCATACACATAGATAGTAAGGAAATCAGTTAGTGAGTATGATCCTTTTCTTTTCTTTAGCACGAGGTTATGGTATTTAAGCGGTGCAACCCAATTTTTCCCAACTGCAGTTGCGGAGGATCGGACTGTAGCTCGCCCTATCAAGTTCAGTACCAGTGATCTCTGGACCAACCAACAATAGGTGCTTATTATTAAATCCTTATAGGCTTAACAACCGTTGGGCTAAATGACCGGCTGAGGGTCACCTAACTTAGAAGGTTATTTTTCAATTAAATCATTTATTTATTAAAAACGAGATTATTCACTTATATTCATCGACTCCCTACATAGTTTGTGTTTAAGATGGTGTTGACTGCTAATATAAACTACTTAAGAGCTACTTTGAAAACTTGAGCTTAAGGTCTCGGCATAATGGGTACCCAAATTGATATCATATAATGAGGGGGTTTAGGGTGTCATAACGGTATCAATTTTATCAAAACTTTTCCAAGTCTCTCTAAAACAACCTAAAGTGCAAAGCAACCTATATACTCTTAGAGTTTCGTGTGATGCATCAAACCGAAAAAATTTTTATTAGAGGTTTAAAATTTTCAAAAATTCAGGGAAATTCAATAACGACTGAAAAACAGGCATACAAACTCGACAACACGTGCAATGACTCGGCCTAATACTGAAAATAGATAAAATACTAAAGTCATGCAATAAACTAGAAAATAATAAATCAAAATAAGAAGCGATAAATAGAAAGCGGTAAAGTTCCTCCCCCACACTTAAACCAAACATTGACATAAATGTTTCAGTAAAAAGTGGGAAAAGGAATAAGAACATGATCAATGCTCGTCTCAATAGTTGCCTACATGCAACTGATCGGTGCTAAGCGATCAATATCTTTATTTTCTATGAACTCAAACAAAAGCAAAAACATTAAATTAAAAACTCGTGGGTTGCCTCCCACGCAACGCTTCTTTTAACGTCGGTAGCTCGACGACTCAAGAGTGTTAGCACTCATGGTGATTCTCTCGAGAATAAATCTTCGATCGAATTTTTAATCATCTTTGGTTTCCATAACCACTTATCAAGCCATATTACATATCCCTCACCTTTTATTTTGTTTCTTCCGTGGGGTGGTTCATTCTTTCTAACTTGTGGTGGTGGTTCTGCATCTATCTTGAGTATCAATTTTTCAAGTTTGGGCTTAGTTATTTCATCTACCACCTCAAAGGTTAACCTTCCCCTCTTAAAACTATTGATTTCCCTAATTTCATGGCCCTCTAACTTTCTCTTTTTATGCAAGACTTCAAACAAGGGCGCATTGGTGTAGATATTTTCCAATATCTCTACATACGTTTTGGATTTGGAGTCTACCTTAGTGTCCACAAACCTTTGTGGAAATGAATAGGTGGGGGTATAAGGAGGAGGAACAATAATAGGTATTTCCTTCTTTACCTCCTTGACAACCTCCCTTTCGGATGACGTCGGTGTATTTTTCTCAATTTGTACTCTTTTCTCACCAGAACTCTTCTCAACCTCATTATTACTCTCTTCAACCTCGTTATCACTCTCAGTATTTTCAATCTGATTTTCACTACTGGTTGTTATAACATCCATATGCTCCTCCGGGAAGGGTCCTAAAGGTTTTTGTTCAAGTAGGGAGATTTGAGTCTCCAAGGCCATGTTGTGAGTCGCAAGGGACTCAACCGCATTATTCAGCTGCCTAAGGGTTTCATTATTATGAAAGACTTTGTTTTCTTAACTCTTCATTTTGGACAGTTTGGGTCTCTAAAAGTGCTCTATCATAGATTCTATCCTAGAGTGAGTCAGCATCGCATTGAAATCCTCCATTGATGTTTCGAGGTTTAAATTTTGGGATTCATGTGGTTCCTCAAAGTATGTTTGTGTTGCACTTTGTGTCTCCACAAAGCGCTCCGTCATCATATATTCTATCCTAGAGCGAGTTATTGTCACAGTGTGATCCTCCATTAATGTGTCGAGAGTGGAATTTTGGGATTCTTGTGACTCCTTAAAATATCGAGTGTGGTGATTATAGAGGAAATTTGGTTGAGGATAAGTTAGCGTCACATTGTAATCCTCCAGTAATGTTTCGAGATCAGATTTATGGGATTCTTGCGACTCTTCAAAATGTTGGGATTGGTAGTTATAGAGGTAATTTGGGTGAGAGTGAGTTAGTGACGCATTGAAATCCTCCATTAGTATTTCAAGGTTGGATTTATGGGAATCTTGTGATTCCTTGAAATATTGAGAGTGGGAGTTGTTGAAAAAATTTGGGCGATACATAGTAATTAAGGTAAGAGTGCCTTAGTCTATACAGTGCAACAACGAAAATAACAATATTGAGGGTTGTTCCCCGGCAACGACGCCAAAAACTTGATGCATTCGCAAGTGCATGGAAATATTGAAGTAATATAAAAGATTGTCGAACCCACAGACCAATGTCAACATACTATAATATATCGTCTCTTTGCAAAGCTAAGGCTAATGAATTGGATTTTAGGGAAACTAAGAACTAAAACTGAAGGCTAATGAATGATTGCATTTAAGAAAAGCATGGTAATTAAATTTAACAAACGAAGTAATAAAAATAAGAAATGCGATAAAA